TCGTTTTAATGGAGCATCTTAGTCCATTTTACATTTAAGTTTAATATTGTTATGTGTGAACTTGATCCTGCCCATTATGATGTTAACTGGTTATTGTTGCTCGTCTAGTTTGATGCGAGTTTCTCCTGCCTCGATTCTTTACATTTTTGGATGTTTTTGCAATGGCTGGTACGTTGTTCTTTTCCATGTTGAGGTTCTTCAGGGTCTCTTGTAGCAGCCTGAGTGGGACCAAATCTTGCAGCAATTGCTTATCTGTAAAGGATTTATTTCTCCTCACTTATGAAACTTAGTTTGGAGCTAGATATGAATTCTGGGTTTAAAATTCTATTTCTTTAAGAATGTTTGAATATTGGCCCCACTCTCTTTGGGGCTTGGAGGTTCTGCCGAGAGTCTGCTGTTAGTGTGATGGGCTTCCCTTTGTGGTAACCGACTTTCTCTCTGGCTGCCTTAAATTTTTTCCTTCCATTTCAACTTGGTGAATCTGGCAATTGATGTTTTGTCTTGGAGTGGCTCTTCTCGAGGAGTACTTTGTGGCGTTCTCTGTATTTCTCTGGATTTTGAAGTTGGCCTGCCCTACTATGGTTTGGTGGATATTCTCTTGTGTATGAGTCCTGGAAGAGTGTTTTTCGTTTCCCCCTCACCTTTCAGGGCTTCCCAATTCAGACGTTAGATTGGTCTCTTTTTAGCATAATCCCATGACTTCTTGCAGCTGTTCATTTTTTTGTTCTCTATTTCTTTTGGTTTCTCCTCCTCATTTCATTCATTTTGATCTTCAATTGCTGATTACTCTTTCTTCCAGTTGATCGAGTCAGTTACTGTTGCTTGTTGCATTTGTCATCTGTATTCTCGTGTTCATGGTTTTCATCCTTTCATTGTTTATGGCCTTCTCTGCATTAATTCTCTAGGCCATCAATTCTTCCACTTTTTTTTCAGATTTTTAGTTTCTTGCGCTGGGTACCGTAATTCATCCTTTAGCTCTGAGAATTATTTTTGATGGACTGAAGCCTTTTTCTTTTCATCTCGTTCAACTCATTTCCAGTCCAGTTTTTGATCCATGCTGGCTTGAGAGCTGCGCTCCTTTTGGATGGTGGGAGATCGTCTTATTTTTTGAATTTCCGTTTTCTGCCCTGCTCTTCCCCTCTTTGTGGTTTTATCTGTCCTTGTTCTTGGTTTTGAGATGTGATGTAGTATGTGTTGGTAGTGGGGTGTCGTTCCTGTTTGATAGTTTTCCTTCTAACAGTCAGGACCCTCAGGCTGTGGTCTGTTGGAGGCTTTTGAGGTCCACTCTCTTGACCTCTGTTTGCCTGTTGATCGCAGAAGGCTGCACGTATATATTTGTATAATTTCCTGACAGCGAGTGTATCTGTCTGATTCTTGCTTTGGAAGCTCCTCTCAGGGTTACTCCACCCTGTGAGGTGTGGGGTGTCATACTGGCCCCTAGTTGAGGATGTCTCACCAGTTAGGCTACTCAGGGGCCAGGGACCCACTTGAGCAGGGAGTCTGTCCCTTCTCAGATTTTCTTTAACCTCCGTTGTTGTGAGCATCCACTGCTCTTTCAAAGCTGTCAGGACACGAGTTTTTTTTTATTGTTTTTTTTTTTGTTTTCCCGAGGTCGTTTGCGTCGCAGAGGTTCTGCTCGCGTTTGTTTTGTTTACTGGTGCCTGTCCCCAGAGGTGGAGTCTACAGAGACAGGCAGGTTTCCTTGAGCTGCTGCTGAGCTCCAACCCAAGTTCGATGCTTTTCCCATTGCAGCTTTTGTGTTTTACCTACCCAGTTCGACGCTTCCCAGCAGCTTTGTTTACCTACTTAAGCCTTCAGCAATGGCGGCGGCGCCCCTCCCCAGCTGGCTTGCTGCCTGTCGGTAGATCCAGACGCTGGCTAGCAAGTGAGGAGACTCGTGGCGTGGGGACCCTCCTGGCCAGGTGTGGATATGATCTCCTCGGTGTGCCTGTTTGCTTAAAGCGCAGTATTGTGGTGGAAGTTACCCGATTTTCCAGTTGTTGTGTATCTCAGTTCCCTCTGGCTAGGAAAAGGATTCTTCCCCTTGCGCTTCCCAGGTGGAGGCCAATGCCTCGCCCTGCTTCAGCTCTTGCTGTCGGGCTGCAGCAGCTGACCAGCACCGATCGTCCGGCACTCCCCAGTGAGATGAACCCAGTACCTCAGTTGAAAATGCAGAAATCACCGGTCTTCTGTGTCGCTGGCGCTGGGAGTTGGAGACTGGAGCTGTTCCTATTCGGCCATCTTGCTCCACCCCCCCGAGCAACCTTTCTTTTCCAACTCAAGGTGTTTCCCTAAAAGAAGCCCAGGTGAATGGAATATATAGGAGTCATTTCAACAATACATCATAATTTATTTATAAAAGGTTGCATTCTGGTCAGGGCCCCGTTCCTATCCTTCTGTTCCATATACTATTTCCCACATTAAGCTGCTAAGTAATACAAAAGTAGTGAGAACAGGAATCATGCACACAGCTTACTGTCTACACTGAGGAGAGCTTATATGCCACTGGCTTCATCAACATAACTTTACTAATATAGGAATCTCTTGCCTAGGAAAAAAAAAGTTGCAATGAACTTTCTTGTTCATTTCAGCAACTGCCTGAAAGATCCATCAAATCTTCAGTCCGAAGTGTCAAATGACATTTTTCAACCCCAAAACAAATTGAACCATTGCCTAAAAATCTTTGTGTTCTTGGCTCCGCCAATCCTAAATCATTATGATTCCTACCTAACTCCAACCAAACAGTCCCCCACTTTAAAAGACCCACTTTACACCAGATTTCAAAGTGAGAACAAAGATACTTGTCTCTTCGTCTGACACACTAGTGCCTTTGTTGAAGTAGTGCTTTCTTTTACAGCATTATTTTTGCCTGGATGTGTGAACTTGTGTTCCCCAGATTTGACTAGTGATTTCCTCCTCATGCTTATTCATAGCACTTTACACCCATTCTGCCCAACACAAATTAAAATGGCTTCCAGCGCCATTGAGGGTAACGGTCTTAGAGTGACCTCTCCATGGGAAGAGTAACTAATGAAGAATAAGTATGTGGAATAGTGTTGGGTTAGTGTTGCAGCATGACTTTAAATATGCATATGATTAAAAGTATCTGTGTGATCTCTGTATTCATATTACTGACATGCATTGATAAGAAAATTTTTTATCTGCACATGCACACACCATGTCCCCGCCCTTGTCCCAGGAGCCCAGTGTGCCAGAGCCTCAACAAGAAGAACCACCAGCTGAAAATCAGGATCATACACCTGGTCAGAAGAGAGAAGATCAGGGTGCAGCTGAGATTCAAGGTGGTGGGAAGGGAAAGAAAGAATGTCTATGCGTAGGGGGAGGCCTATATGTGCATCATGCCTTATGCCATGACCAGTAAGAGGAGGAAAGAAAACAGTAGGAAAGGATCTCAAACATTTGCTGAGGGTTGGCTGGAAACGTGACGGGTATAGTTTGCAGCTTCCTGCAGCCCCTGGATATGATTAATCTTCTCTTTTTCTTCGAGGTGCACTATGTATGCTTGAAAATACAGTGCTTCCTAAATCAGATGAAACCATTTAATTGATTGTATAAAAATGTCCATTATTTCACTAGTTTAACTTGATATTATTAGGATGTTACAGTGAGATCTTCTCAGCCATGGTGTTCACAGTGTTGTAAGCACCCTTTAATAGCATGTCGAGTGCCAAGTTGCCCTACCTTATAACACCCTGAATAAAGCCCATTTGCAAAGGGATGTTAACCTCATTTTATAAATAAAATTGAGGCCGGGTGTGGTGGCTCATGCCTGTAATCCCTGCGCTTTGGGAGGCCGAGACGGCCCGATCATTTGAGGTCAGGAGTTCGAGACCAGCCTGACCAATGTGGTGAAACCCCATCTCTACTAAAAGTACAAAAATTAGCTGGGCATGGTGGCACACACTTGTAATCCCAGCTGCTAAGCAGGCTGCGACAGGAGAATCGCTTGAGCCGCGGCGGCATTGGTTGCAGTGAGCCAAGATTGCACCACTGCACTCCAACCTCGGTGACACAGCGAGACTCCGTCTCCAAAAATAAAAATAAAAATAAATAAGAAAACTGAGAATCAGAGGTTGAGACTTATCAAGAACACTTGACTCATGGAGAAGGAATTCATATTTTGTTCCAAGGTTTGCATTATTCCTGCCATCTGTTTTAGAAAATGTGAATGATTTTGATTAAAAATGCTTAATACTCAAATGTGTCTGTACTATAAGGTAATTCGGTATTGGCTCAGGGCAAAACGCAGTTCAGTGAAGCAAGATAGCAACTCCAGAAAAGAGGCCAATGAATGACAGCCACTGTTTCCTTTGATTTATATTTTGACCGTATGTCTGGTAAAAGCTGGATAATTCAGGACAATGGCCACCCACCAAATACAGGTAACTATATTTGTAGGATTTTGAAGGGGCTTTTAAAAGTTGTTTCAATATTTTTATAATTAGAAAACTCCAAGTATGATAAGATTATCATGAAACAGAAACTGTTTCCTCAACAGACAGCATTTTCAAACTACTCAGAGACAGAATTTGGGCCATGCGTTATTTTAGCAATTCCCTGTTAAGAGGTTTCCAGAATATGACTGTCAACAATGCCCATTAATTTCTTTGCACTTCAGTTCCTGTACTCTCTCTGGAAGACAGTGATTTTGCTGTTATATTTCGTACTTTTTTTCTTAATGACATTCATGTATGCAAAGTCACATATAGGGCCTTTCGACCTAAGAATAACTTTAATTAAGTTTAACCCCAACATTTTCAAGATACTCAACAGGGGATGAGTGTCAGGACCATAAGATTTGTCATAGACTCAACAATACATTGATCTGATCCTTCAGAAAATTACATTTAAGTTACGATTAAAATGCTATCCATGAGGCTGTCTTCAGTTTTCCTAGGTAGCTGTGTGTTTATAATACACAATGGTAAAGTATGGGAGATGCAGGTGTGCTGAGACTTATCCTCAGATTGTCATTTAAGATAAGATATCATAATTCAGGAAAACAAAGGTGGGACATCTTTGCATCACATGTATTACCACAGTAGCTTATAGGCTTTTATTGTATAACACTGAGGAAAAGAATAGGATCAGTTCCTTATTTATCATTCTTGTTTGGCTGCTCCAGTCGACATCCTTGGTATTTTTTAGTGCCCTACCTGGAAGCTGATCTCCAGGAGCTGTCTCAGTCAAAGACTGGGGATGAATGCGGAGATGGTCCTGATGTTCAGGGAAATATTCTGCCAAAATCAGAGCAATTTAAAATGCCAGAAGGAGGTATGTTATCCATTAAGATTCAAAAGTACGTGCTTTCTGTATTCCACAATATCATAGTTTTGATAATAAAAAGAGAGAATATTACTGCCCCTTTAAAAACAGAATTCAAATACAGACTTTATTTGGAAGGTAGTTCAGACCCCAGAAGCCTGACTGCAAAACTGAAACACTATCAGACACAGACACAAATTGGGTCAAAGCCATATTGATTCATCAAATAGCATGACATTTTGTTACTTCTGAGTATAACCAACAGCTAATAATTTTCAGATAATTTTGTGATTTCTGTTTCTCACAAATAAATGCATTTGTAATACCACTTTGTCCCTGATGGAGATTGTAGTACCAGCTCCAACATAATTTGTGAGATTCTGGACAAATCACATCAATCCTACACCCATTTTTGCTTTTATTGAAAATAGTGAATGCACATCAGTTAGATTAAAATCCATTTCAGTGCTGATTTCTGCATGCTCTGGTTCTGTTGGAGAGAATACACAGATAGTCTGATTTTCATGATTTGTTTATCATAACAATCAGCTTTAGTCCAATTAAAATGTCTGAGTTGAGATTTCATTGCTCCTAAGAAAATGGGCAGGCACTCTGCTTGATGCTTGTTTTCCCGCATGGAGATCTTCATGAATGTTCTTGGATTTTGTCAAATCCTAAATTCTGTCAGGCTCTTAAACAATGATTGCATTTTTTTTTTTTTCCAGAAGGGGTCTCACTCTGTCGCCCAGGATAGAGTGCAGTGGTCCCATCTCGGTTCACTGCGACTTTTACCTCCCGGGTTCAAGCAATTCTCATGCCTCAGCCTCCCGTGTATTTGGGATTACTGGTGCCTACCACCACACCAACCAATTTTTTTATTTTTAGTAGAGACGAGGTTTCACCATGTTGGTCAGGCTGGGCTCGAATTCCTGACCTCAAGTGGCCCACCTGCCTCGGCCTCCCAAAATGTTGGGAGTGATTACAGGGGTGAACCTCCTCCCTCGCCGGACCCATTGATTACATTTTAAAGTCTTCCCGCAGTGAAGCCTTGAATGACTGAGTAATAAAATCGATAGAGACAGTCAGGTTTTTGTGGCCCATGAAGCAGAGAGCACGCATGTAGGTTAGTCATGCTCAAGGTGGTTGTAAGATGCCTGTGCTAAGCATGCTCCCTGCCATCCTGTCAGTCTTCATGATCTACTGTGTGTAGATTGAAGAATCAGAGGTTATGTATTACAGGTTTCTGTCTTGAGTCATCAGATGATATGATTTAAAGTTCAAAGTCTATAACGTACTAAGTCCTGAGTATTCCACATACGTATTTTTCACACATATTTTCCAAGTTGCCGACTTAATTAGAAGAACTTCTGAATTTAAAGGAAGCACTACACGTATAGGGGAGAAACCATCTAAATGTTTTTACTCCACACTGCTGAACCACTCCATTCTACTATTTACATTAAAAGATAGCTTGTAGACGATTTCCAGGAGCCTATCGAACAAGTCTGAATTGTATTCTTAGGAGAGTCATAGCATTATATGCATATCCTATTAAAATAGACAGCAAATTACATGATACAAGAAAAAAATACTAAGAAATAAAAAAAAGAGTCACAAAAGAAACTTAAGGGGAAAGGAAACAGGCAGTAAATGAAAGGTACAAATCATTAACAAAAGTAAAACTAATCCAAAAGTAATAAATTTAATAGATCATTCTTTTGCGAAATATCTAGGAAGAGAGCATCCAGTAGCTTAAACAATCTTGAGGAAAATGGAAAAAGCACAACATGGAATATGAACAAGACAGAGATATTGAATGTAGGGCATAATTGACAAGGAATACATTCTTGAACACTAGTATTTTCAGAGTATGGATGAAATGGTTGACATGCTAGGAACACCTACATTATTTAATGTATCCCTTTAATACCTAAATATCTGAACATCACAAAGTGTGCATGAGCTTGTGAAATTTGCTGGTCGTCCCTCAAAACAGTCACTTTTAGAAGCAAATATTTAGCTTTTCCAGATGCCTTACTCTCCGTTTTCCTTTCCCTCTCTATTTTTTTTTCTGCCACACTGGTTATGATGTATAACTCTTTCACGTTTTATTATCAATAATGATCCTGATACTTTAAAACTTATATGACCATTTAATTAATTATAGAAATGGGAATACATTCCGGTGATTAAAGTGTCATTATTCATATCGTCATGAGGACTATATGTGAAAGCTGGATGCAAATGTTTATGTTAAAAAAAGAAAAACACAGAAGGGTAACCTAGCCCAAAGCAATATTGTTGCACTTCTGTACAATAGAGAAAAAACAAATGCAATACTGGCCTTTCTATTAATTTCACTTATGTATTTCCTAATGTGACCTTAACTGTTTTCTCAAAAGATAATTTTCAGACTTTTTGCAGGAGCCTATTGAACATCAAGACCATAGTTTCAAGCCAAAACATTAAATTATACATTTTTCACAAATTCCTTCTGTTGCTTAGGTTTTTTTATGTCTTGGTCGTGTTTTGAGTAAAACTCTACATAATGGTTGCTATCTACTTTAAATAGGTCCACTTTAAATAGGTCCATAATGGTTGCGATCTACTTTAAATAGGTCCACTTTAAATAGGTCCTTTCAAATAGGTCTACTTGATTTAATGTGTTCTGACCTTGGACTGTCTTTTGGTTTCCTTCTAGCACTAAAAGCAGGGTGTGGTTAAAAAGTGTTGCTAATATGTACCCTTGGAAGTGTATTTTCAAAGTCATTGAATGTTAGCTGTAGGGTGACCCTGAGGCTTCTGGTTTTTGTCCATTGTATGAAAGTAAACGTTGGTGCATACCTTTAATTTCATCTAAGTACAGTTTTGCTAGTAATGTTCCCTCCTGTTATGTTTCCATTGCAGGGGAAGGGCAACCACAGGTTTAAATGAAGACAAGCTGACAGAGTACAAACTGAATGTATCTGAGATACTTGACTTTAAAAATCTCAATAAAGTCTTACAGTTTTCTTCAAAGAGGTCTTGCACATCTTTTGTTCATTTATAGTCACATATAAGACACTATTGGAAATTTTACCCAGGTGCAACAGCTCATACCTGTAATCCCAGGACACTGGGATGCTGAAGCATGAGGATGGCTTGAGCTTGGGAAATTGAGACGTGTCTAGGCAACATGGTGAAACCCCCTGTCTACAAAAATAAATGAATGAATGCATGAATGTATGCATGTATGTATGTAGATGTATACTCCGGCTACTCTGAATGAATGTATGCATGTATGTTTGTAGGTGTATACTCCAGCTACTCTGGAGGTTGAGGTGGGAGGTTCCCTTAAGCCTAGGAGGTCGAGGATGCAGATAGCCATTTTCACGCCACTGCAACTCCAGCCTGGGTGACTGAGACTGTTTTAATAAAAAATAGTATCATTTTTGGAAGATGGGTGAATAGGAACAGCTCTGATCTGCAGCTCCCAGCGAGATTGACGCAGAAGATGGGTGATTTATGCATCTCCAACTGAGGTACCTGGTTCCTCTCATTGGGACTGGTTGGACAGTGGGTGCAGTCCACGGAGGGCGAGCCGAAGCAGGGCAGGGCGTAGCCTCACCCGGGAAGCACAAGGGGCCAGGGGATTTCCCTTTACTAGCCAAGGGAAGCTGTGACAGTCTGTACTTGTGCTTTTCCCACAGTCTTCAAAGCCGGCAGACCAGGAAATTCCCTCCTGTGCCTGGCTGGTCGGGTCCCACGCCCACGGAGCCTTGCTCACTGCTAGTGCAGCAGTCTAAGATCGACCTGCAATGCTGCAGCTTGGCAAGGGGAGGGGTGTCTGCCATTGCTGAGGCTTGAGTAGGTGGTTTTGTGTTCTCAGTGTAAACAAGGAGGCTGGGAAGCTGGAACTGGGCATACCCACCACAGCTCAGCAAGGCCTACTGCCTCTCTAGATTCCACCTCTGTGGGCAGGGCATATCAGAACAAAAGGCAGCAGACAGCTTCCGCAGACCAAACGTCCCCGTCTGACAGCTCTGAAGAGAGCAGTGGTTCTCCCAGCATGGCACTCGAGCTCTGAGAACGGACAGACTGCCTCCTCAAGTGGGTCCCTGGCCCTCGTGTAGGCTGACTGGGAGCCCCCAGTAGGTGCCGACAGATACTTCATACAGGTGGGTGGCCCTCTGGGACCAAGCTTCCAGAGGAAGGATCAGGCAGCCATATATGCTGCTCTGCAGCCTCCCCTGGTGATACCCAGGCAAACAGGGTCTAGAGTAGATGTCCAGTAAACTCCAACAGACCTGCAGCTGAGGGTCCTGACTGTTAGAAGGAAAACTAAGGAACAGAAAGGAATAACATAAACATCAACAAAAAGCACATCCACACCAAAACCCCATCTGTAGGTCACCAACATCAAAGACCAAAGGTAGATAAAACCACAAAGATGTGGAGAAACCAGAGCAGAAAAGCTGACAACTCCAGAAACCAGAGTGCCTCTTCTCCTACAAAGGATCACAGCTCCTCGCCAGCAAAGGAACAAAACTGGATGGAGAATGCGTTTGACCAGTTGACAGAAGAAGGCTTCAAAAGGTTGGTAAGTTCAAAAGGCTTCAAAAATTCTCCAAACTAAAGGAGCATGTTCTAACCCATCACAAGGAAGCTAAAAACCTTGAAACAAGGTTAGACGACTGGCTAACTAGAATAAACAGTGTTAAGAAGACCTTAAATGACCTGATGGAGCTGAAAACCACAGCACGAGAACTTCTTGATGCATGCACAAGCTTCAGTACAGATTCGATCAAGTGGAAGAAAGGATATCAGTGATTGGAGATTAAATTAATGAACTCAACAAGACAAGATTAGAGAAAAAAGAGTGAAAAGAAATGAACAAAGCCTCCAAGAAATATGGGACTATGTGAAAAGACCAAATGTACGTTGGATTGGTGTTACTGAACGTGACGGGGAGAATGGATCCAAGTTAGAAAACACTCTTCAGGATATTATCCAGGAGAACTTCCCCAACCTAGTAGGGCAGGCCAACATTCAAATCCAGGAAATACAGAGAACACCACAAAGATACTCCTTGAGAAGAGCAACCCCAAGACACATTATTGTCAGATTCACCAAAGTTGAAATGAAGGAAAAAATGTTAAGGGCAGCCAGACAGAAAAGTCAGGTTACCCACAAAGGGAAGCCCATCAGACTAGCAGCGAGTCTCTTGGCAGAAACCATACAAGCCAGAAGAGAGTGGGGGCCAATATTCAACGTTCTTAAAGTAAAGAATTTTCCACCCAGAATCTCATATCCAGCCAAACTAAGATTCACAAGTGTAGGAGAAATAAAATCCTTTACAGACAAGCAAATGCTGAGAGATTTTGTCACCATCAGGCCTGCCTTACAAGAGCTCCTGAAGGAAGCACTAAACATGGAAAGGAACAACCAGTACCAGCCACTGCAAAAAACATACCAAATTGTAAAGTCCATCGATGCTATGAAGAAACTGCATCAATGAACGGGCAAAACAACCAGCTGACATCACAACGACAGGATCAAATTCACAAACAAGAATATTAACCTTAAATGTAAGTGGGCTAAATGCCCCAATTAAAAGACACAGACTGGCAAGTTGGATAAGAGTCAAGACCCATCAGTGTGCTGTATTCACGAGACCTATCTCACGTGCAAGACACACATAGGCTCAAAATAAAGGGATGGAGGAAGATCTACCAAGCAAATGGAAAGCAAAAAAAAAAAAAAAAAAAAAAAAAAAAAAAGCAGGAGTTGCCATCCCAGTCTCTGATAAAACAGACTTTAAACCAACAAAGATCAAAAGAAACAAAGAAGGCCATCACATAATGGTAAAGGGATCAATTCAACAGGAAGAGCTAACTATCCTAAATATATATGCACCCAATACAGGAACACCCAGATTCATAAAGCAAGACCTTAGAGGCCTATGAAGAGACTTAGACTCCCTGGAAAACATTTTGAAGGAACATGAAAGCACGCTGAAATAAGTGGAGAGACACACAACGTTAATGGATCCCAAGACTCAAGATTGTCAATGTGTCAGTTTCTCCCAAATAATCTATACATTCAATGTAAACCCAGTTAAAACACTTGCAGCCTCTTGTTTCTATAAATTGACAAGCTGACTTCAAAATTTATATGGGAAAGCAAAGGGACTAGAATAGCCTAACAATGTTATAAAGGGCAAATAATATTGGAGTACTCACATTACCTGATTTCAAAATGCATTTGACAACTATGCTAATCAAGACACTGTGATATTGGCAGAAGAAAAGGCACGAGAGTCCAAAGGTAGATCTATATATGCAAGTTAAATGGATTTTTCCATACAGTGCCAAGATAATTCAGTAGGGAAGGATGTTTTATTCCAGGAATGGTGCTGGAACAATCGGACACTGATATGCAAACAAATGAACCTCAACCTTTGCCTCACACCATATACAAAAGTGAACTCAAAATACATCACAGAACTCAATGTAAAAGCTACTGCTACAACACTTGTAGAAGAAAATGTAAGGGAATCTGCAGCATCTTGTAAGACAAAGATAGACAGGATACAAAAAGCACTAACTATGAAATAGTACATGCATATATTTTTAAAATTCTATATAATTATGTGCTACCCTTATCCAGTGACTACTTACTTGCCCAAGAATTATACAAATGACATGAAGAGGTCACTAGAGTTCTAATTTCCTAGAAAGTTTTCATTCAAATTCTCCATACAAGCTCATGAAGATAAAACCCCAGCTTTGAATTTAGGCTTTAGAATAGCCCCATGAGGAGCATTGATTATTCATTTTTCGAAGAAAAGTATGCCCTCCTGCCAGCCACACAGACTCATTTCTTGAGTCCCGAAAGAGCTGAAGTGATAACAGAAGGATCATCCAAGGGGTCAAAGGTATTCATGACATAGTCTCTCTGGATCATGTTCCAGGGAAATGTGGACACAGCAACAATCTTGGCGAAAATAACAGCTAGAATTGATTGGAAATTTATGATATGGCTGGCAATGTCCTGACAAGTGTACATGTCTTAATATACGCAATGCTCTAAACTACCCCAAGAAATAGATGACATTACCAGTAGTGTTTCCATGATACTACTGGAGAAAGGAGGCACAGAGATGTTAAGGAACTTTCTCAGTGTCACCCAGCAGTGAGTGGTGGAGCCAAAGGCCACAGGCATGGCAAAAACTCTACTGAGCTGCATATTTGTGTAATCAAGAGTAAGACCCAAAGGCTACTGCAAAACTTTAGAATTTAAAGACATTTGATTTCTTCAGAAATATTTAAGAGATGGAGACTTGAAAGGACTGGTCTGGGTATCATTTGGAGATGGTATCCTGAGAGCGTCATTAGAATAACAGCCAGCATGTGAGTGCTGGTCTCCTTACCTGAAGGTCTTGAGTTCGTCCATCAGAGAAGGCACCAAACGTGTCTCTTCTACACTTTTACGAAGGAGAAAGAGGTGTGTAGCTGGGAAATGAGACTATTCCCCTGCTCTAGTAGTTCTCAGACAAGTTTCCATGAAAGTTAGACTCCAAGATCTGTTAAAAGTGCAGATTCCAGGAATCACACCCAGGGAAGTTCATTTAGTGTGGCCACAACTGTGTCCTAGGATTTGGAAATTTACTTCCCAGCCTAGGGAACTTTCAGAAACCTTCTTAAATCCCTCAGGTAGCAGGACTCTCTGGAATATACCCAGAAAAATATTCCCAGGACAGACATGAGATTGAGAAGGGCGACCTCAGCACATAGGAACACAGGACATGATGAACGCAGTGTGAGACTCACCATAAGGGTAAGGCAGTGTATCTTATGAGAAGACCTCACAAACCTTATTGGCCTTTCTCCCAGAAGACCTCAGTTTACCTCAGTTCCCTGCTCCTCATGGGTGGTGAATAGAGTTGTGTCAAGAAATGACCTTTTAGATCCCAAAAAGGCATGGGCTTCT